CTCGCTGCTCCGAGAGGTCCCGGTTGGTGATGAGGCACAACGCTTCATGTCATGCTTCGAAGGATCGCTAAATATGTGGGAAAAATTATTGGAATAAGTGTATTATGTGACAGCGTGGTTTATCGACTATAGCAAGTAAAACAATCACACATTTTTATTGGCTAATGAGATCGTTCTCCTTTTATTCATTGGTGAGTGCAAGGCATTTAATTCTAAGGTATCTTCCATTTCTAATATAGAGACAAAAGAAGTATTGTCGCTCTGAACCTCCTAATGATACGATGCATACAGAAATCATGTTCTTGATACTTTTAAAAAGTATCACTTTATTTTGCAACAAACCATTAACCGATTTATATGATGACTTAGTTCAGTCACGGAGAACCTGAAAAAGGAGTCCTGTCATCTCCAGTGCCATGAATGATGAAAACGACATAGCCGAGATTCTTTTTCAGGTTGCTTTTCTTTGATGGGAATTTACATGAAACTATGCAGAACTATGTCAAAGTAACTAAACTAAACTATGCCAAAGGTCTACGGATCTGAAAGAAATCGCTTTATATTTCAGAATCAGAAAGATCGCATTGCTTAGCTAGGTTATTGTCAATGTTCGTATAGGTGATGTAGCTGCGTCGTCGTACTCTAATGTGTAAGCATACTCTAATGTGTAAGCATACCCATTTCACTTTACCACGGACCATTTCTAGAGATAGGAACTTATAATTTTCTTTTTTCATCACTGCAAGGGTTTTAAACAAAATTTCGACTGGTTCATGGTAGTCTTTAATTCCAGCAGAGGTTTTATGATTTGGGCAATGGTTTACCGGCGTATACTTGAGAGGATTTCAAAGTACATTTTTTGAAGTGGTTTCGATTCGCATAACGTTTTTTTTTGTCCAGCACCAGTGCAGCTTAGAAATACTGAGTAATTGCTGTTGGATTAAGCAACAAAGATATTTATCCCTTGGTTAGCTCTTTGATGGAGCATAAAGCATGGTCGTATTTTTTTTTTATTATAAATTAAAAGATTTACTGAGGTTTTCACGCTTTTTGTAAAACAAGTTGCTTATATATATATATATATATAATCAGCCATGATGGAAACATTTGTCTCAGCGATTTACCCTAGCAGAACCCATAATGCTAACTTGTTAGCGAAGACACTATGGCAGAGACCCCGAAGCAAACACATCCACAAATTTGAGGAGCCTATGACTATTCTTCATCAGTGTTTCTTCCAGTTTTCTCTGCTTTGCACAGACCACGCATCATAATTTGGGCTGGAAGTCAATGGAGGACCAACGAGACCACAACATTGCCAATAAGAGCAACCTACAGCTAATATCTCGCTATCTTTTGCTAACCATTGTTTGCCTAACCTTATTATAAATAATCAGTTTTTTTTATTTATGAGCTAAGATGTGAATGGAAACATTATTTATTCGGCTAGCGCTTCGGTGCTTTCGCCTCCGTGATTCGTGATGTCCACAGCCGTTTGTTCTTGCGTTGGGGGCCATGTAATCGCATCGAGTTGGAACCAGTCGAGTAAACCGGAGAAATCTACCGGATCGTTTACTATCCAATCTATGTCTCCCGATAGGGTTCCAAAAAGTATTCCGCATGATGTGTTCTAAACAGCCAATAACGAAACTTATTAGAGTCGTGCCCTTAAAGTGAGTTATGGTATTATTCTAATCTTTATCGATTTGAAAAGGAATTCAAGTCAATTGAGATAGCAACTGTCACAGAACCTCTGCAATGTCATGCATCCCTGATCAGTACAGAACGGTCTTTTATAAGCAATACCAGAAGATTATAACCAAAACTAAATTTTTTAACAACTGCGTTATAGTTGTGGTGAAAGAGAGGCTTCATGAGACAATATCATCTCTCTAAATTTACCTACATGCACTCTAAGAAATGTGGTACGAAGGCTGAAGTTGGATAACATAAGTGTGAAATTCGAAAGTAGTTATCTGCATCACAGGTATTTGAGGAAGCCTGTGTAAGGAATGGCTATCGATTGAAACTTTAAAAAAAACAATATCCATGTCAAACGGATTAGCTTCTTGTGCCCCAATTACGCTTAACAAGAATTATTTCTTTGAATACCGCAGAAACACATATTTGACTCGAGAAGTTGGTATGATAAACGACTTGACTCCAAAACTAATAATCTGGAAATGTAGCAAAGATGACGAAGTACACCAAGTTTCACGCTCACTTTCTTCAGTATACGAGTTGGCTTCTCTTAAAGTTCGTATCTTATGCTTGGGATCGTACGTGAGCAGAAATAAAAGATCGGCCAGCGTTATCGAACACTCAATCTAAAAGTTGACAAGACTATTCGTATCCTGGAAATAAGACTGCAAAGGATAAAGAAATCAGATGATTAGCCATTGACCAAAAACTAAAAACATCAAGGTGTTGAAAATCATTCGGATCGGATGCGTGGTGGTTTCCCATCACTGAGGATGAACACTTAACGAAAGGGCACAAGGGATTTCAGTAGAGTAGCAGAAAGATCAACAGCATGATTCTTAGACTTTCCTGCAAAGATTGCTGTAAAAGAATACTACGCTTCTCGTTTTCTTCGAAGTAGCAAAGTGGACAGATTTGACACCCAAGACGAAAGAATGTAGATCCATTGAAGCCCACTTGAAACATACAACGATCGTTCGGAGGACAGGTGTCACAAGAGATATATTTGAAACTTTAGGAAAGATCAGATCTAGATTAATGTTAGTAAAGCTCGATATTTGAGGAACTGTTCTAATGCTTGCGCTTACGCTCTCAGAGTACTTGTTAAAAAATATTTTGGATTGAACCCCTTGGTCAGCAATAAGGTGGATCAGACACGATCCTATATTTTCTCTGCAAAGCAAAAATCGTTTTTCCACTGAACTCATCATAGCAAGCATTTCAAGTTGAGCGTCTATCAGAGACTCCAATACGCTGAACGTTTTGTTTTCTTTTAACAGCAGAGCAACGAGAGAACTTTACTCTACTGATGTGACCATGGAGACTTTTCTCTAGCTCCTGTAATTTTTCTATAACTATAGCAGTTGAGAACTTCAGCACTTGGCACAAATATAGGAAGGGCTTTACTTCACTGCTCTAAATTTTTACACACCTTATCTGAATTCTTCTTTTCTCAATTACTTTGCGAATGACAGTTTGAAAAATTTCTGCAACACAAATGGATTGTAAACTTTTTGACGCCACCCAGCACCCTTTGACGACGCATTTGGAGACACCATTGTGTTCTAACGGGCAAAATCAAGTCTGTTCGGGGTGCGAGTCTGGACCACAGAAAACCCCACAGGAAAGCCCTGTGTTTTTCATGCAAATAAAATTTTTTCATGCCTTTAAGGCAAAAATATTTATTCACTGTTGGAAAATCCGTAGTAATTCCAGAGATTTTGATTTAATTAATAATATTCACTAAAAGCAGAGACGCATAGCATTGAAAAATAGGGATTCTTTTTTGACTTTTTATACACTGAATCCAATACATTCAGCAAGGAACCCGTTCGACAAATGTGTCGCAGTGGTCCGAGGTCAATTCGAGCACAGAAAAATTCGGCTATCAGATTAACATTTTCATATTTTCATTGGTGAGAGAGGACAAAGTGAAAGTTTTAGGTACGACTTCACGAAACAAGAAACATCGTGTGGAAGATAAGGGACAGGGTGAAGCATAGCGGTTAGATCAATCCTTCAGGGTTGTGCTATGCATTCTACTCTAAAAAATGACTGAATATATGGTTCGACTTATACAACTATTTTCGTGCTTAAACCGTACCAGTCTTGTCTAGTATTAATCCTCCAAACCAGGCAGATGAGATTTTTGTTTAGTTACGGAATGGCATCGCATTAAACACGAGATGAATGACGTTAGGGCAGACTTAACCAATGCGCTAGGCACAACACCATGCATAATTCTCTCATAAAAGCTGCTAACTGGTTTCATTTTAAACACTAAAATATAAAAAATGAGATGAGACGCTGAAAAGATTAAAGAAAACGACTGGTAGGTCTCTCTCAGCGCAGTGATATAATCAGGAAAGCTTTTCAAGAAAGGATTCACCTTAAAGGATCTTCAATAATCGCCTGGAAGTGCTCAAAAGTGATCCGTAAATGCACTTCAATTGGAAGCTTAATCGAGGTCTCACTTCCTTTTTTTCCAAAAATACCAATCAGATTATTAAAATTTATTCCGTGTTCTTATAATATTCTATATAACGTCTACTGGCAGCCGTGAATACCGTAGTGGCTAACGTCAACGTCGAAATAATGAAGATGCTCAAAAATAGATGTGGTGATCCCTAAACCGTCACTGCATTCGTTGTCTTCGTCGGCTTAAAAAGGGCAAACTAAAGCATATCTAATTGCATAGCCGTTGTTCGAACTCAAGAATACCTTGGCAGACTTTGAACGTTGCATCTTCTCTCATATTGTTGTAATAGAACACCTAAATATTTTGAAATTTGTGCGAATAACATTAAGATTTGGACTCCAACGCTTTCAACTCATCATGGGTAATGAGATATAAAGCAATTTAAGTTTTACTCTTGTTCGGCAACATTTTCAAATAAACGGTCTGACCTCATACTTGTGATGGTGGCAATGTTCCAGTTTCTTAGGAGGAATATGTGGTACGATATCTCTCCAGTGCGTCACGCGAAACGAGTCCAACATCAGGAGGTGAAGGAAAACAGGAACTATTCTCTTGGAGTTTTTACTAAGTTTCTAGTAAACAACTCATATCTGCTGTCAAATTTTCACAAAGTACGAGATGGAGTAGGTGACTGACTCCTTGACACAGTGTACCGCATCTAACTGATTCCTCAAGTGTTACCTGCTAAAGAAAAATTCTCAAGTAAGAGACCAACCCACGCGCAAAGAATGTCCTTCGTAGGTGATGGGTCCGGGGAGAATCGAATGCAAGGAATTCCAAGATACGCGCGGTAGAAATAGAAGATGGGTCGTGAAAAATAAAACAAATAAAGCATACACACACCCGCACACACGCACCCACAAACACACCCACATACACCTCCACAGATACAAATACACCCACACACACGTATACACACACACGGACACAAACACATACAAACACACACACACAAGTACACCCACACCCACCCACCCACCCACACACACACACACACACACACACAAAAATACCACGCACACACGGTGGTCCGGTAATTTCCTTGTTGAGCCATATCATTTTCTCTGAATTCTCGAAATCCGTGCTAAGGTTTTTCGACATCATCTATACTTACCGGCTATCGACCATCCGAGCACAAGTTTCTTATAAAATAATTTTCCGAATGAAATTGTCGGCGTTCTGGTCGCCTGGGAAGGGTTCGCTTGTACAATAAACCACACAATGTAGATCGCAATTGGACACGTAGGAGTACAATGATGTGGTACTTCACTGGGAAGTTATTAAGAGCGAAAAGTTTCGTAGTTGATAAATCCACTAGCATTCTCCATATCTTGTTCTTTGTAAGAGCGTGTATACATTTCTGGATTAAAAATCCAACACTTTAAAACTTAAGTTAACACCCTCTATTCATTCAAATACAAATAAATCAAACGAGAAAAAATATAACTCTGAATAAAAAAAACAAAACACTCCAACATAATAGCTAAAACAGTCAACCAAACATAAATTTCCCCTAAATTTACTTCAATTACTATATACAAAAATCTCACAATTAAATGCCCTACTATTACATTAACCGTTAAACGAATAGTTAATGCTATTGGACGAGATAACTCTCTTACTACCTCTACTAATAATGCATATATATATGCATTGTTGGTGTATGCATATATATATATATATATGCGTTATATATGTGTGTATCTATGTATCTATGTACGTACTTATTTAAGGCATATGTGTGCATGTATCCATGCATATATGCGCGTGTGCATGTAGGTATGTATGAAGGGATATGTTTTACTTATGTGCTCCGAACATCCCTGTCGATTCTTTTCTGTTCGTCCTGCTTCTGGTTCAGTATAAAAAATTGTAGTAGTGCAATTCCACCTGTTTATCGTGAGCATGTGCGAAATCTTTGTCACCAGTTCGTGGTTGACCGAATGTAACCAGCTGTACTCTGCCAGAGAACGTTAGATTAGCAGCTATTATATACGAAGCAGCCAATGAGGCTACCGCCCCTCTAGAGAATGACCGGTTACCTGATATATGAGGTAAAGTTAGTATAGTGTGGAAACGATAAGAAGTAGTTAATACTAGACTGAAACGAAAGAAGCCTTTTTTGGTGCGTTCAACTATAACTAGCGCTCTAATCCAAAAATAATGACCGTCTTTGATCAGAAATAATGTACCTTACCTCAAACGCGACCTTATTTTAGTGAAAGCTATTGGAATATACATATTTTCTGCCAATATATCATAGGTTCACCTGTTATGGTCATGTTATATACTGATTTTTCCGAGCCGTCGAAAGCTCCAACTTACAAAGTAGCCGTCAAGAAGCTTGAAAAAAGAGGTTATTGTCAGACTAAGGTACTTCATGAGGAATGGATTAGGTAAAGTTTCGTATACCAGCTTAACCAGCGTTTCTATTGCTTTTTGTGTAGTATGTGACAGAGCATAGCTGGGAAAGGATTAGAAGTTTCTGTAGCCAATGTTTGGGCGTCTACGTAGCAGTTTTTGTAAGATTTCATGGATTTCAGATGTATTCCTCCGTTGTGCCTAGTTTGGCAACATTGAAGACATTTTAATACATGATGTCCTCCATTAGAAGCCGAAAAATCCTTAAAACCCTTTTTTGATGGAAGTTTATGGGAAAGTGGGAAATGTTCAAGCTCCTCGTTCCATCCTACGCTCTCTCTTAAATATCGCATATTGTTCTACAAGAATTCCTCTTAACATGCACCGCAAAGAGAACGAAAAATTAACCGCATTCGTAGTGTAAAATTAGTGCAAATCAGGCATTTCTCGATGTCAATATTGCTGACTTGCGTTAAATTCGTCCCAGTGCCCATTTGTCGAGTTTTTTTCATCCTTCTGATGTCTTCCAAATAGAGAGCGGATTCGTCAATGTTCAGCTTTTCCACATCTTGTTAAGTAGTTCATGGGGAGGCTGTTTCAATCGTGGTCTTCACAGCTGATATGCTCACATCATCTTCCCCTTCATGAGGATTCATATCTTTGGGACAAGTCCTTTCGAACCATCTACGTGATGTTGGTTTCAAAACTCTTTAATCGGGTCGTGCTTCAATAATATTTCAAATTACTACCGTTTCTTTACGTCTAGATAAAAGGCCGTGAAAAAGAATGATTAGATTTGGGCTATTGAAGGAGTTACGTGGCTAGCCTCAAATCGCTGCAAACTTAGTTTTAAAGGAGGAATTATGCGGCAAAAGTAATGAAATACGTTTAAATTTTATGCATCATTTACCCATTTCAACACATAGAAACAAATTTCATGGCGTCATTAGAAACCTAGTAAACCTTACAAAATCCATTATTTTTGCATCAACGACGATCGCTTCGAGTTACTTATCTTACTTGAAATGCTGCTCTCTTCGAAATCGTAACTTTTTTACACGACCAGTATCACTTCTATTCTGCGGGTTGCAGCATTTCCTTTATTCGATTTACTTCCTCCCACTCATCATCCACCGAGGGTTTCGAAACTTTGTGTGTAGGTGCAGCTTCTGCATGAGGACCTTGTTATGAACGTCGTTAAATACTGAACGAATCCATTGTCTTTGGAGTCCTTGGATAGCGAGTCTAGAGTGTTCCTACTTAGATTATAAAGAGTGAACTATTCCCAAGCAATTTTAGCACTTACTTCTCTATTCCGGAGAAACCAGAAGCTTGGTTAGCTGTAGACAGTGTCGAACCATCGCCGTATTCGTGATGGGCAGCATCACTACGACTGCTCTACTCTTTCCATCACATCGCAATACTTGACTTAGTTATATGATTTTTACGAATTCTTATACGTTTGGGCTTACATGATGTTGGTACAAAAGCCTTATTCGGCTAATGTTTTGGTGTCTTCGATCTCTTCAGAGCCGCATTGATCTGAGTCGATCGTGCACATCTGGTCGCTGCCGTGATGTAGGTCTTCATTGTCGTATCGAGTCGAACCCAATGCGGTGGGAGCACTGGTCGAATGGATAACTGCACTCGGCGATGCCCTTTTTTACGGGACGAAAGTAGATCAATTTCCTCGTGCAATATTGTTAGTGATTTGGCGGGCAATTTGTCCTGTAGCAATTGGTAGTTTATTTGCTGGCATGTAGCGGGGCAATATCTTCATATCAATTTCCACTAAAAACGACTGTTCTGCGATAGTCGTGCAGTGCTCAGCGAGGAACTATTACTCGGAATCAGAACAAATCTTGGGACATTTTCTTCTCTATATATAATTCTTCTGTAATAAGCGGCAGATCCCACAATTCTGTATAAAGGATTTTTGTCATACTGGTCATAGAAGCTTTCACTCACCCAAATTCAATAGGAAGGATACAGTGATATGAGAGCATTGAAATCATCCTTTATTCCAGCATCCAATAAAGCCATAAACGCGGTGTTAAAATACTTTGACACCTTCCCACCAGCAATCCATGGAGACTGAATTGTAAAGTGAGCTCGTCTTCATTCTGACGGTACCATGCCGACGATGTTGCTCGTTTGTTAGAAATGATATATCAAGAGCCTTACAAGCATTTTTAGTTGTTTTCCACTTTTTTATCCGAAAGGAGAGAGCCGAAAGAGTGGTCTTCATCTCTCGGCAGCGTCATTCGTGCTCAGTAAGAGATAAAGACTTTATCCTGAAGATCATCTAAAGCAGATCTATGACAAAGTTTTATCCCTGCATTCGGCGCTGCTTTCTTGCCACGAACAGTAGATATAGAGGACATCTGCCAAGTGTATTTCTGTGTGTAGGTTAATCCAGCTAAGCTAACTGAGAAGGTTTTCAGCGTTACGAGAGTGAATGGAGTTTGCCAGTTGCCACTTGAGTTGCTGGATGAATGACTTGATCTTAGGATCTGTAGGTATGTAGAAATCCACAGATCCACGAATTTTAACTATGGAATTTGGAAGAAATAAAAGCTTTTTGAATAAAAGCCCATTAAAAAATAAAAAACTGAAAATGAAAAATTTCATGAGGATAACTGAAAGTTCGTGGTTTAATACTCCTTCTGAAGAAGTGGCTGCAGTCGTATTTCAAATTTGTTTATTTCCTTGCAAAGTAAGTGAATCACTTGACCCTTCACCACTTGAATCATTTGAAACTGTTTCTTTACGAAATTGTCCTACAAATTTCAAGAACTTCGAAAAGACGTTTGGCTAACGATATCCTCCTTGTGTTCAAGCAGCGATTTTTTGCAGACTTTTCGGTAAGACTAACTTCCTATTCTGATGCAGAAGCTACTATCAATAAGTCAATAAGTGTAAGAGCGATCACCCACTCAAATATTTGGTATTAATGCCATTATTTCCAATGACTTTTATCAGAAGGTGGTCCCTATTGCGCCACGCAGCTTTTCCATGGGATCCCGTTTGAAAACATCGAACTTGCTCTCTGCTTGGTACATTTTGTTAAGTGAACGAACCCACGAAATACACCCCAACCTCATGCTCTCCCAGCAAAGATGGGGTGGAACCAAATCGCTGATGATTAAACGAAAAAATAAATAACGAAATAACAATTTTATAGACCAAAGTGTGCACATTGTTCTAAACTCACCTGAAGCCGAGGGCGATAGGCTTTGTCGTCGTCGAGGATCGCAGAGTATCCAGAACAAGTGTCAACTTTGATTGGATCACATTCTACATTCAGTCGTCGTTTCAACTAAAAGCTGATCCTGTTTGAGGAGCAAAAATCTTTAGTGATTCAAACATGGTTTGGTAACCAACCACGGCGTTAGTAAATCTGTTAGTAAGACAGTCTTGTGGCCGTTTAGAGTAAGCTGCCGACGCCAATGGCAACATCTTAGTGCGAGCAACGACGTCTAAGTAAGTGGCATTAGGAGTGGGTGCAGAGAGAGTCGAATAACAGAACTGCCATAGAAGAAGGATCATTGCTAAATTTTGCTGGTCTCATTTTGCATTGATTTAAAAAAGACGTAGGAAAACGGTCATAAGAGGTGGGTTCAGTTTTGCGAGCTTCTCTCTCATACAAAATTTTTGACAAGAACACTGCTTAACATGAAGGGATTGTTAACGAGGTATTTGTTCACATCTCCACCCTTCGTTCAATTCAAGTGGAAATGTTCCTCCATTAAATATAAAGAAAATTTCGTTCTTATTAAAGCAAATGGGAATTTCTGATATTTTATCTCAATCTGAGTGAGGTGAACAAGCTGATTAGTTGGCTCATAACCAAGCGGAAGAATTCAAGGCGCGGCATCCCATAGCTTGAACAAGTACACATGCACTAAAATCGTGCTGGTCGTAGTTCTTTGATAAGATGTCACAACTTTTTCCAGCTAGTTTCCCAAGTTTTACGATAAGAAAATTGAAAGAAGGACAAAGTCAACGTTTTTTCTATTCGTGATCAATGCTGCATTCCTCACTGTCGATTTTTCCACACCGTGAAAAGCTCTTGGAGTAAAGTAACGAAATTTCACTACTTTTCTCAAAAAAGTGTAGTACGTTAAAAACTTTACGTCCGCATAATAATAACATTATGATATTGAGTGAATTCAGAAACTTTACTAGAGATTTATGGAAAAATAATCTTGCAGTTCAATGATGCTGAGATATTTGCAAAACTCCGGACCGCAGGTGTATGCGGTGGGGAACGAACGCGCTATTGTCCTTTCCGCAATATACCCCGACATCAAAAAGAGTAGGCAGTAAATAAAACGGTTAAGATTGTAATCTTGCAGTTGTAATTACAAGTGATTCTGATAGTGCACAATGAATATGAATGAGTGAGAGATTTTGAAAATCTGCTGAAACCTGAAGCCGCCACTGGACTAAATCTGAAGCCATAGGTGAATAAGTGTAGTTGTGATGGAGCTGAGAAAGACGGCGATGTTATGAATCAAAAGACCAAGTTAACTTCTCCATTTTTAAAACAGTAAGCAGTTATTGATAGACCAGGTCGATTTTCTCCGCCGTTTCTTCTTACCATGCTATGCAATAGCGCGATGGAAAAGCCGAGGAAAATGACTATAACGTCATTAGTATTTTATGCTCGCATTCTTGCATAAACCGTTGGTTAAAAAGGCAGAGGAATAAAAGAATAAAATTATTGGGCAAAGCATGTGTACACATGTCGCTAACAATCTAGAACTGCTTAAGAAAAAACTTCTACACTTCCTTAACATTAAGGAAATTTGCCAATGTTGAAAAAAGAACTTTTTTCGTATCTGCGATACAACTTTATTGAACTCACTGGGTTCCTTTCTTCCTTGAACGTTTTCTCGAGTTTCTTTTATTCCACGAATCAGTTCTTTTGTTCTGAAGCTCTCAATTCACTTAAACCCAGTCTTCTGGAATATTCTAAACTACCAGATTCACTAGATCGCCTTCAACTTTTATTTTTACCTAAATCTTTTGAGGACAATTATTGCTATTAGGAATCTTAACCTTTTTATTTACTGCTTATTCTTTTTAATGGAAGGGTGTGCTGCGAAATGTAACTTCTATAATGCAGAGATATTTGCAAAATTCCAGACCGCAGGTGTCTCCGGAGGGAAGCCGAACGGGGTACAACCCTTTCCGGGGCTAACGCGTTCACCACCACCCCATGCGGGTCATTCGTTTCGCCTGTCTCTTAGTTAGTTCTATCGAACACTTGCCATTAGCAATCACTCGTTAACGGAATTGATCTGGAGGGCACAAATCGGCATTGAACCCAGTTAAGCTAAGCTACAGTTATAATCACAATCTTAACCTTTTTAAGTGAGGTGGCAGAGGTGGCTATCCTTTATTTGAACGTTTAGAAACGAAAACAAGTTTTCTTTTTTTTCTCCGTTCCTAAACGTCAAGTGCTGAACAAAAGTAGAGATTTGTTTCTTTTGGATGTCAAGTGTATACCAGAGTGTCTACGATTTCGGCCAGCAAGTTTGCTGGAGAATATCGTAGAAGAAAATACGATGCCCACCACTGCTTACGAGATAGCGGAAGCGATCCTATCATTAAGAAAAAAAAACAGCAAGAGATTCAGCTGGAAATGCGACGAATAAGCCGAAGCAAATCAAACTGAATAACTCTAGCTGAAGACGGAAAGCCATAGACGCTATGGTGGTGTCCGGTAAGGTAAGTCGACGAACAGCTTGAAAAAGAGATGAAAAGCTTATGGAGCTTAACGTCATTTTTTCCTCACCGCGTAGTTTTTCCCACTGGCGACAGATTTTATTCGGTTAACGTTTCGACGCTTCCGTCTTCATCAGAGCTGACGACCCGAGTCGATAATCCACCGTTCTTCTTCGTCTTCATGTGGCATCTTCGCTTTCGTATCGAGTTGTGTCTTCCTCAGAAGACGATCTCTCGAATGAGGCATACTCACTCGTTGATGCCTTTTTATGCAGGATGCTGATGTGATTAGTTGATAGTTGTGATTGCCCAGTGATAGTAACTTGCGTTCCTCGGACAATCAATCCTGCAGAAGTCGGTATCATCATCACTAGCAAAGAGCTATAATAATATTTTAAAACTGACAAACGAAACCAAAACCGAACTAAACAGCATCTTGCATTAAAGGACATCACCGAGTGAGTGCCTCATTCGAGAGATGGTCTGCTGAGGAAGACACAACTCAATACGAAGGCGAGGAAGCCACGTCGAGACGAAGAAGAACGGTGGGCTATCGATTCGGATCGTCGGCTCTGATGAAAACGAAGACGTCGAAATACTAGCCGAGCAAAACTGTTTATCAACCTCGTGTAAGCTTATCAATGAAAGAATACATATCGATAAGCAATACCGAGGTTAAAGGAAAGTTAGTTTTAAAATACTAGCAATAGAATCCATCTTGAAAGATACTTACTGGGAGCTAAAATTTAATAAAGGGTTTTCATTGATTTTAAACTACCGATACCCAATGGAAACTACATTGCAAGAAATAACAGCGCTGTTTTTCCGGGTTCCTCGAAACTATTATGATACAGAAATGACTGGTAAAGAGTTTTCATACGACCAATTTGTCCGCTATCAGGATGCTGTACTCTCTCTATAGAGTAGTCCTTTCTTGAAGAGATTTATGAAGAAAGCACTGCAGTATTTAAGATTACGACATAACGTTTTCCAGCTTACGTCACACTTGTCGACGAATGCTGAACCAGATATTGATGAATTTCACAAATTTCTAGCTAAGGAAATGGCTTCATTCTTAATACAATTAATCTGAAATGAGCTGTGTAAATACTCGATCAAGAGCTGGTTAACAAGGAACAAAAAACAGCAGCTCTCGATGTTTATTGCTGTACTGACGGCTAGCTTGCATGAAAACAAAAAGAAAATGGATAAAGGATATAACCACAAAGATGCTGAGATACGAGCGAAATTTGGGACCTCAGTTAGGTTTCCAATTCACGATTATTCTTAACAAATGCTCAATTTCACATCATGTTCTGCCTTGAAAAAGGAGAGCCACTAAATAAAAACTTAAGGTAAAAGGATAAAGTTTTTAGTCCACTATGGATTCACCACGCACTTAGCTCCATTAAGCATCGCAAAGGTGGGTGAGCACGTATGTGGCCCATACAACGACCTCTACTCAACTGCCGGGGTAGAGTGTTTTTGAACCTGCAAGACAAGTTTGATAATGATAATACACTGGCCATTCCACGTGAATAACACCATGTAGTCACAGACAGAACAAAGCGGCCCTGAGGAAGACAAACTCGAAAAAACGTTAGTCTGGAAGAAAAAAAAACATAACAACAACAACAACAACAACAACAGCTGATTTCAATCTCACGTCATCTCAACAAGGACAGCTTATAAGAATTATAAAGTCTGATGATAATTTTTCGATCCCAGAGTAATGCAGTCTTGTTTGGCTCAAGACGGATCGAAGCAATAACCATGTACATTGCACGGTAGTCTAGCTACTCCGGTGCAAGAGCAGTAATAGAAAACTCAAAAATTGGAGTACCTGAATGGACTCGAAATTCAACCTGTTATTTACAGCACCTGTACATTGTATTCTTAAAATTGTTTCTGAAAATAAAATTCTGATTGTTTTGCGAAGATGTGTACAGTGAATTCGTTAACTTTTAATTCAGCTTTTCCAATATCAAACCTTTCCACTGTACGGCAGAGAAATGGTTGATAGATCGACAATGCACAGAAACGTAATTTTTATTATACTTACACCATGTATTTTGTACAGTAAAAGTCAGCACAAATGAGAGAACTCCGAACTTATAGCACAAGAGTGTATGAACAATGCTCATCGGATCAAGAGGCCAATGAAAAAATCAATAAGTGAGAGAAGAGAGATTCTGTACAGTACTGAAGATACTACGGTACTCATGTTAGAAGTAACACAGCTAGACGAGCAATTAATATGAGTTGTTGATGTGACGAGAAAGGGGCAATTGATATGATTTGATGATGTAACGATAAAGAGCAGACTAGAATCATTTTGCGGCCCGTGGTTGGATTTTCGCACTGAGAACGAGATGACTGTTTATAAAACTAAGAACTGAGAAATTTACTATTATAGCTCGTAAACTTCTCAAATTATGATAACGATAACGACCGTTCTGCTCCTTTCGTAAAAGAATGCAGTTTACGGCAAGAGTATGCGACTAGACATCAGTTTTATTTCAACCTGCTTTGAAGTGAACATAGTTTTGCGTATATTACTATAAGTCGGCACTTGAAAAACATCTCAAACGGCGCGCAAAATCCGTTGTTGTGTCAGTTCTCAGGCGCTTGTTGCAGTTGGGCGTTCGCTGCGAGGTCCAGCACAGCCATCCAACGCAGCTGATTCTGCTCGTCTTCTACGGTCACCGTGTACATCCTGCGAGATCCGACCCGAAGTGAGAAAGTGAAGCGTTCACCGCACAGCTTCACCTCACATCCTGGTAATGGCAACATTGCCAATGCACATTCGTCCTAAAATGAAGCAAGTTGGTGGACAAGGGAGCATTTTCAGTGGTAATGTTCGTGGAACAAGAGCGACTTCTATGATTGGAAACTTGCCCTAACTGCTAAGAATTGTCAAACTAACATGAAACTAGAATCAAATTATCTTCTGATAAACGATTCACAATAGAGGTTAAAGAAATTATTTGCGCCATAAAAAATACGCAAATTGATTTCCATCTTCCTCATTTGCATGTTATCTAATCGCACCTTATTCTCCAATCTAACTCTGCCAGCACTATGCCATTTCACGAGAAATACAACATTTTATGCTCGTATTTAAAAAAGATGCAGTGATTACCAGAAAGACTCACATCAGGTGATAAGTAAGAGTAAAGACAAAAATCATTTCGTACGACAAAGTATCGCTCAAACGCTTTGCCAAGTGAACCTCGAAACTGAAACAACTTCATTACAAGGAAAGCTGAATATGAAACAGCTCGAAAACCAAATCCATAAACTTAAACAATAAGTGGACAATCGTTAATGTTTGCACATAAAGACTTGGAAATTTTCCTCAACACAACAAAACCAAATGTTAGGTTGGTGATAATTAAGTGTGTTATAAAGCAACCTTGCACAATGAAAAAACCACCTTTAGGAATAAAATGGGCGCATATAACCAGCGACAAAGTGCTACAACCGCTCAATGGTAAACCGCTGATAATTTAAAAGAGTGAATCAAACGACGAGCTCACCTTTACCATGCTGGCATGTAGAATTCCTTTTCCTCCAGCCGGTGTTGCGAGAACATTCGGCCGTCCGTTTGATTGAGCAGACGCTGAGCGACGAATCGTCTCGAAACCCTGACGTTCACAATTTTCCCATATTACTTCTTACTTTTTATATTAACAGATAAATCTATAGACAAAGACAAAAGCGTTTTTAAAAACGTTCTTCATTTATGCACAGCAGTTGCCGAGCAAAGACATTGAGTTACGAAATGTAATGTGGCGGATGATAGGAGCACGAAGGTTAGAAAATACGCTGATAGTGATAAAGAAGACGAAATATTAATTAAAATATACCAAAGGAGTCCTACCTACCATATTTTTCACACATGGCTCACAGATCCGTTGATTCTTACTCTCGCTACGATACCTGCCAAAGCACTTCTTACACAATTTTCTTCGACATTTGCCACATTTCACGCCGCGATAGAAGAGGCTAAAGTCGATAACAAATAATGAACTGCCTTCACTAGTTCTCTTTTGGGCCGATATTTTACCTTCGTTCACATAAATTTCATGCCCTCAAAAAATTCCTAAATTAAAAAAGACGGCAAAATTGGCTCGAACACTGATTTTGTGTTTCAAAATAGAAAGCTGGATGTTGATTCATTTCGGCAACTGATGGCAATTTCTTGATCATCAGAGCAGTAAGCATTCAGATTTATAGAGGAAATTTCGCTACACTGTCTGGATCGTATGTCTACTTGCCGTTCAATTTATTTCAAATGGGTTTAGGATTAAAATTTTTAAGAAACTGGAATCGAAATTCAGGTCATCAGATGCGGTAACCGCAAACGCGAGCGAAGAAAACATCGGGAAAGTCTACTCCATTGGACGAAATCCCATTTATTAATTCGATTTCTCATTCATAGCACGAGTATCAAAGAATAAATGGGAAAAAAACATGTCCCTTGAGACTCAGAACTTTACATTAGTTAATAAAGTACAGTACGAATTGAGATCTGTTGGTTTAGACTTGGAAGCACGTACTATTTTACCAAGATGAGCATTGTACTGAATGCACACCTCGGTGTTATGTATCTTCATTTTAATAAAATAAGAATATTCGATGTATTAGACTACCATGTCAAATATAATCATATTTCACTAAAGTTGACGAATACGCTCCCAACTCTATACCGCCTCATCGTGGCTGGGATGTGTTCCTGGATGTCGGGGTGGTGTGTATGGCGGGATGATTCATCCGCCCAGCAGCGTCTACTAAGATGAGAAGGAATCCGGCATTTCCATCAAGAAGTTCGGTCAAGTGTAAACCAACACCAGGTTCTACCATCATTCTGGTATCGAAATAGTCGCATGGTGGCAAATCTCCTGATCCATAAGATCTACCACCGTCTGTGGTAGTGACGACCTGGGACAGGGTTTAGCTACGCTGACCTCGAGACTCCACAGAACCACAATGGCTTAACCGGTGATACTCCGGAAAGTGGAAATTGATATCCAAGTAAGTAAGTAAACGAACACACAATAGAATTCTCGCCTTTCATACCATTATTTTCATAATTTCTTAAGATTTTCAGTTGTTCAGTTTTTCTTTTCAACGCATGGCTTTTATTTCACAGACAGCTCCAGCTCAAAAACATGCAAAGAAAAAAATGAATTGGGCTAGATTTTACAGAGCAGATACATAGAAAAGTCAGTGAAAGCAAAAAATAATAGGCTTATTAGGCTGGAGAAAAACAGGCCGTGTAAAACTCTTACAGTTCTTAATATTTATCTCCTTGTAATTGTAACGGAATAAGTATGCTTCTATATTATAAATACATTATATTATTTCATTTGCAATATATTAAGTGTGTCATTTTGCGTTCAACGACAGACTCACCTGAACTCTGTGTCACAGTCAGCACAGTTCCGACTTTCGCTGTAGTTGTTGTTACTCTCGCCTAGTGAAGATTTCTAAATTGCATAAAGATGATCTAGAATTAGTATACATATTGGCAGAAAAGGTCATAAAACAAGAAAAACAATGTTAAAAGACTGAAATCAAGCCTTGTTGTTAGCCAGAACCGAAAGCTGTTCAATCCGACTCACATTGTTTCCACCAAAGGTAGCTGAGTTTGCCCGACAGTCCTCGATCACTGCACAAATGCTTTCCACCCAGTCATTCTTTTCCTTTTGAGAATCTGTAAGTTGTGGATGTAAACAATGAGACTGTACCGATTTACGAGAATTGAATTATGAAGCTAGCCATTTAAGCAATAGTGAGATGAACTGTTTTCAACTTCGTTTTTACAATAGTAATTTCTCTAGGTCTATGAAATATTGTTCCTTGCTCAGCAAGGTTGTGCTCAAAACGTTCGCGACAAATTGGACCTATACATCTAAGCGTGGCAGTGTGCGTGAACGATTTGAAAGCATAGTGTCCATTTTCAATCCAGTCGGTTATAGAAACGGTAATTTAAACGACAGCTGACTGTTTTCTCAATTCTAGTTACTGTAATTTGAACGACAGCTGACTGCGTTCTCAATTCTAGTTACTGTAATTTGAACGACAGCTGACTGTGTTCTCAATTCTAGTTACTGTACTGAATCATAGTTATGGTATGGAATGTGCGAGTGTAAAAAATACTGAGATAGACGAAACATAAGTCCTTCCAAATGCGGACAGCATTACTTTTGCAGTATGTATATGCCATTTAAAACACAACAGCGTCATGTCCACAACCATTCGCTCTTCTGGTTATCGAAAAAAATAATAAGAAAAAATAATTCTTTCCACTTCTGCTCAGCAAAAAAAATAATGTTTATGGCCGAGAAAACAAGCAATTTCACAAAGGTTGGAAACTAGGGTTCGTTCAAAGCTGGAGGGCAGCTAGATACGACGTGGTTTGAATAACCAGGACTGACCCACTGCTTAAAGCTACACAAAGCCTCCAATGCCATAGCAACTGATCGTCGGCTTGAACTGTGTTCCTGGACGTCGAACTACGAAGTACAGCGATGGAAGTTCATTCTACTATAGGACTTCATCCAAGCTTAGAAAGAGCTCCTACACTTTTACTTGAATGACAAACTTAGAGCTAAGCAAAGAGTTCCAACAACTGCTGCCCTATGAAGAGCCTAACCACAACCTCCTATCTATAAAAGATGGCGAATATTCTTGATCAAAATCTTGGAACAAATTTGTATGACTTTCGCGGGATTCCAGAAAAAAAGACTGCTCAACCAGAAGCATATCGGCTACACAAAGAATATACTGAGAACAAGATGCCTCCTCATGATAGTGGATAGTTTAAAGTAAAGAGAACAAACAATTTGAAATAATTTCACTAGAGGTGCTCGTAAATAGAAAATGCTTCTGTATCAGAGGTCTTCATCAATGAATTTTTCTTGCCACCATTCTTAACTCTCTTTTCTCTTCATCGACCAAAAAAGAATCCAAATATTGCTACAAAGGATGTTAAACTTCAACCTAGCAAGCTTTACGTTTAACCACTAATTCCTAATAATTATGTGAATAACTTATTTACCTGAAAAGAGTTCCACACATCTCTGCGGTCCACTGCCATCGGACCCTCGAATGTAGAAGGAATGTTCCCTTTCAAGATTATCGCCTTCACATATCTTAAATGACTACAGCAGTAGTTTTTCTTATCAAATATTAGTAGTTCAAAAATATATTTGAAATAGACCTCAAAACTGATGTTCAGCGGCTTTCATCTGAAGAGTTTTCATTTTTAGCAGGAATATTAATTTAAATAAAGGTAATTCTCATAGTTTCTCATCATTATTATCGTTTTAATTTGACATGGTCATCAAATCTACTGTGCGGATCCCAACGCTTCTTGCCTTCGATTCGTTTTGCTTGCATTCATCGTTCACCTTAAGCATTTCCGCTGTAGTAGAATGCTGGTCGAGTTGATTCTTCTTGCTTTCTTGGTGATAGCCGGGCTAAGGCGTTTCAACGTCGATTGAAGGAAAAACGTTGGGGCCGGGGCGAACTAGTACCTTTGCTTCCTGATCGACGACATCACTAACCACTGACCTATCTCGGCCCCCAACACTACTATTCTTGGGTTGATTGAAATCGTCCCCGTAAGCAACAGAATTCTGAGTAATTTTGCGCCTCACTTATGAAAACATTTTACTACTTGAGAAAAACGCTGAATTTCAGTTCGACTAAATAAATGACCACCCCTTGTTGAACAAACTTTCTCTATGCGATTGAAAAGAATAAAAATTAGAAAAAACACCTGCGTATGACATGCGTGAAATACGGCACGTAGGCGGTATTTACAAAGACCGATCATCTTTCGCTCTCCTGCCAATAGTATGATATCATTGAAGAGGAAGATCGTTCGATCCTCTGTCTTCTCCGTGGTTGAAGAGATTTTCTTTAAAAAAAACCTTCTGTCAAAATGTTGAAGCATTATGGAATCATTTTGACGGAAAGTATGAACTTCGCAGAATAATTCTCATAGTTTCTCTCTATTGAACACTACTGCTAGTAGTATGTACAGCTCTTGTCATGAAATTAGAAGTAACCTGCAAGGTCCCGGTTTTCAGCAATTCTCGTCCTGGTGAGACGAGTGAAATAGAATTTCCTAACTGTTCCTGTACTTCAACCACCTTACCAAATCCATCCTGAAATATCATAAATAGCTGAAAATTAGCAACGTAATAACCCTCAAACGCACGATCACAATGAGGAAAAATTGTTGAAAATGAAATGGATCTGACCAGTTTCTTCATCATCTCATTGGCATGAGATGCAGCCTCGAGTACAAGTTGAAGCGCCGCATCTGCGTCGGTATAATCACTGTCCTTTTCGGTTAGATGTTTTTTATATTCCTTAAATTACAAAGTTGTTTTAAGACAGACACCATTCAATATTTGATCGTTATACCACTTATGGCGTCTTTATTTTCACTTTTCAAATGACTATAAGCTGCAAAATTCCTCATTAAATGAGAACACCAAAGACGCCTAGTGATTTCTTGAGCAGCGGCTTACCTCATATTTTTTGAAAAAATTTGGAAGAAAAAGCCCGACCTGAAGTAGCAGTTGATATCGCATCACCCTTTGCACTGGACAGATTAGGTGATGACTAAGGGGAAGGCCTTCACACTCAGGCAATTTCTGAAATACCTTCATGTATTGCCATTGATAGAAAACATTCTCAGTCAGTAACGATTAGATTATTGATTATGAAAAATTCAATTGTTGTAGCAAATCCTAAAACATTCCACCCATTTAGACGGTTTAGAGTTTTTGGTTATGAAAGAATCGAATTCAACTTATAAAAAAATCAATGATATAAGCAAAAATATGACAGAGGAGGTGTTTGGCCGTGTAGATTGCAGTTAACTTGACCTTTCCAGGCTCTGATGAAAGCAAAATCCGTCGAAACGTCGACTTATACGTAAATAATGAAATAAACTAACACCTTGCGTTTGCTAAACAAAAGTAGAAAAAATTATTCAATCAATGACGATGTTAATAGAAAGTCGGTCGTGGGAGTTACTGCAAAAATATGACAGTCACGCAGACTTACAGTATCAAGCAGTAACACATCGCTGCCTAAACTCTATTAGCAAACCAAACAGGCTATTGTAGGAAAGATGACGAACCTCCACTTCACGAACGAGATCAGCGAATTTCTTCTTCTTCTTCATTTCGTCAAAAGTCTTCGTTGCTCTGTCATAGTTATTTGTGTACTCAGAGTACATCTTCAAGAAAGGCGCCTGCTTGCGAACTACGTTGGCTATTCTGCAATGGGAAAGGTAACAATAAAACGAATTTGTTTACTGGTGAATGGAAGCCTTGTTTATAAGAAAACATGTCATAAACATATCCAAATTATTTGAAAACATTTTTACTGAAACATTACTTTTTTCGAAAACATTTCACTTTCTCAATCAATGAGTTGCAATGTTAGCGACTTTTGTGGAACGAAAACAAGCTTCTTTGAAGCTATTAATTTGCAGTGTTAACCTTTTATTTGCTGCCTATTACAATTTTTTTTCTGGTACGGTAGTATGTGTGATACAACCACAATGATGGTGAGATATTTGGAAAACTCTAGACAGCAGGTGTCTACGGTGGGGAACGAACGCGCTACAGTCTTTTACGGGGAGTAACGCGTTCACCACCACACCATGCGGCTTCTTCTTTTCGCCAATGGATCACATCAGTATTGCTACTGTATTCCTACTTTTATTTTCACAGTCTTTATTTTATAATTTAAGCAGATGGAAAGATAAATTGATTACGATAGCAAACACAGATCCATAGTATTTGGGAATGTGAGCCCATCAGTAATTTCGGGCTGACCAAAAATGAAAGTAAAAGTAAAAGTAAAAAAAATCAAACAGCACTCAGTGTTTCGTATGCATAACCACGGATATTAATGTTTCCCAAAGTGCACAATTCCGTGTACAGCTAAACTCCAGCTAAACTATCGTGCGATTGAAAAATTTTGTTTTATGATATACGTGCCAGATTTTTAAAAAAAGGATAAAGGATAAAACTCTCAACATTGATCAGTCCCTGAGGAATGAGCCATGCATTAGACACTATTAAGCATCGTTTGGGGGTGATTAAATGCATATCTGACCTTTAGAATGGCTCGCGGTGGCCTACCGATGTATCGAACCAGTGCTGCCATCCTCCCAGACAAGTCTGGTACCAAATTGCCGACCCCGGAGGGATGAAAGGCTTTGTGGGCCATGGACGCAGGGCTCGTTTCCACGTGTACGTTGCAGGGCGTCTCCGACCACTGCGCCACACGTCATATTTTTAGATGCAGATATTCTCGAAAAAAGCAATACGATACCTCTTAGTGGTGTGCCAGTCACGGCTCGCTTCCATAAGCTGCGGAAGAAAGTGTGTGTTATGGAATTGATACAAACTGGATATGTTGGCAAAAAGCTTCAACTGTTTTTCCTTATCGATCGCCGTCTCTTTCAGAACTCGCTGGCGAAACTGCTACAAGCACGATATTTCTTGGAACACATTTCTTGCTTCGTATTATTCTACTTACCTCATCCAATAACCGTAATTTACTCACGTAACGTTGTTCGCTATCTACAAGCTCCTTTGCCGCAAACCATGCCTAGACCAATAGCAAGAATTCTATGATGCATATCATACATAAATAAAGTTACAAAGTTAAACTAAAAATGATTTATAATTGTCGAAAGTCGGAAAGAAAAAGTACCTTATCCTGTCTTTTCTTCACCTCTGCTTGTTGTTTCGTCTGCGGTGTAAACGGTAGGATGTCGCTTTCGCTGTCCGTAATCTCCGAATAGCACCTAGAACAATGCTCTTTGCTGAAATAAGTTTTCCATTGGCAAAGTAACGTGACTGCTTGACTTGACTATGTTAGTAGTGTAGTTAAATTGATAAATGTTCCTTGTCTGCACTGTCTTTATGTGCACTTATCAAAATTTGCACCAGGCGCCACCGTTTAAAAGTGCTATTCCCTAGGTGATCGTGTGTTTTTTTAGTATGGGAACGGTTCAACCGTGTTTCTACGTCACTGAGATTTATAAAGTTATTCACGAAAACTATATGGCCTTAACACTCTGACGACGACGCGTATTCTCGAGCTTCTTAATGATTGAATGACCGGAATCTTCAGCCTTTATAATCTGGCTTTTTGAGAATAAACAATAATTTTCGATAAAAAGAGGACTTCGTAGGGTGTGGATACGAATAAATTGTAGAAAAGACTTCGCTGTATCATTCTATGAATATCAATGATATTTACGGTGCTTTTTACTATATTTTCCATGGATGTCCCTCATATGAGTGATCCCGGTTACCGGTCAGTCTCAAAGCTACGTGGAGCGCACCCAGGTGGAGGATAGGGGTTAATCGCGAACCAAAAGCGATCATTGCTTCTGTGAGACGCAGGTAGATCCAGGGGTGGACTGCCCTGTTTCTGATGGGCCGATTTAGCAAATACTTTCTGTATTTACGAAGCTTTTTTTTGTATTATACGAGCCAATTCGGCCAAAAGACTGGAATCAAATGAAAGTGAAGTTCATGGGAAACGCTTAGGAGTCACCTCCAACAAGTAAGCTACATGCCCACTCTTGGAGAGAATGACAAGCTACCCGTGAGTATACCCATCCCCAGCTCAGAGCCGAGCAAGCTACACGTGGGAAGCAATAACTAAAAACAGTAAAAGAAACAGGCCACATTCTCTTGACCTCGAAGGAGCCCCCAATTCGGTAGCGTTGGGTAAGACGAGTACGGAGAGGCTGCTAAAATATCAGGGCCGATGGAAGCTGCCTAGATTGCAAAGGACTAAGGTGACTACCTGTACCTACAATGCACGTACACTTGCATTCGAGTCCTCAGTAGAAAACTTGCCCATGCAAACAAGAAGGATAAGGTACGACGTCATCCATCGACCTGGCCGAGACGAGAAGACGCCATCCATTCATACACATCCTACTTCACTGAAGAAAAACTGTTTCTCGGAACGTGCGGCATTAGAGGAGTCGGCAGCGTTGGCATTCTCGTCAATACGATTTTGGTTAAGAACATCTATCGATTCATTCGAACAACTAACAACCCGAATCTGACCTTTACTGTTGAAGATATGTGGATCTGTACTGGCTTTGACAATCTTCGCCGTTTAGGCGTCGACATCAGACTATGACAAAGAAGAAGCCAAAGCGTTCTATATGAACTTAAAAAAGTTCTACACAAAAGACCATACGTTCTTCAAGGTCATTATTGGAGATTCCAACGCCAAGGCTGAACCAAGAAGAACGTCTGAAGAACGTTTGAAGAACGTTACATTGTGATCATCGGATTAGAATGGAACCAACATGGTGAGCGGCTCTCTGAGTTTATTACGACAACCAAGACCATCCATGGTAACTCGCAATTCCAGAAGCCCCACCCTGAGCGCTGGACTTGGAAGTCTACCAATGAAGAGTACCACAACGAAATAGACTAGACCACATCATAGCAAATAGAAGGTTTTGCCTAACCGATGTCGCTGTTGGTCCAAAATTCTACGCGGGATGGGACCATCGTCTCCTTCGTGCAAAATTCTATTCCTCGCGGAAAGGAGAAAAATCCGCCGAATTAAAAAACCGAAGTCCCAAAACCCCCATAAAGTGGGACTTATTCAATTCATTAATCGACCGTCGGGAAGATGCCGTTGTCGATAACATCGACGAAGAATACGATCGGCTCATTCAACATCTTCACGTTAGCGCTATGAAAGCTGAGAGTTCGGAAGTCACTAAGAGGCGTCTGCCTCCAAAAACTCTCGAAATGATACGCCAGCACGGAATCGCACGAGCTGCAGATAACCGCCAACTAACACCCGGACTTGCAAAAATCTTAAAGAGATAAGAAAAGCAGTAATGGTCGAAGCTACAGAGGCTGGGTAAAGCATTCGCAAAGCCCATCGAAGCTCTGTCAATTACATGACGAAGTTGATTGCACCCCGGCGTCCAGACGGAACAGTTACAGTCCAATCTGCCTGCTGTTTGTCGTCTACAAACTTTTCACTAGAATAATCCTAAACAGGATTGGCAGAACATTGGAAGAAAGAGAGCCATGTGGGCAAGCAGGCTTTTGAAAAGGATATAGTACGATGGACCACATCCACACGATAACAAGACTCATTGAAGTATCGTGAGAGTACAGAAGACCGCTCTGTCTCACTTTCACCGAATTAAAGAAGGCCTCTGACTCAATTGAGATAGAAGCAGTTATGGAAGGCCTTGATAGTCAAGGAGTCCTTAGTCAGTACATAAAGATTCTTCGTGAGCTGTTCAAAAATTTCACAACCAAGGTATCACCATTCTACAACGATATTAACATTGACGTCAGAAGAGTGGTTAGGCAAGGCGATACCATCTCGCCAAAATTATTTACCGCCACACTCCAGAACGTCATACGGTCATTGGAATGGGATAACATGGGAGTGAAAAATCGACGGTCGACAGTTACACCAACTTCGTTTTGCAGATGATATCGTCCTTATAACACTAAGTATTAGCCAAGCGAAACCAATATTTGCCGACTTTGGTAAAGCCTGTGGAAAGATTGGTCTTCGACTAAATCTCACAAAAACGATGTTCACGAAGAACGGATTGGTTTCGCATGCCTCATTCACGCTCAGCGGAACGAATATCTCCGAATGCTTTGGTTATGTATACTTAGCTCGAGAAATCGGTATTATGAACCACCTTGCTCCAGAGCTGAGCAAAAGAAAACGAGCGGCATAGGGAGCTTTTAAGAGCATCGAGGATGAAGTGAAGAAAACAAAGAACACTGGACTCCGTGCCCACCTTTTCGACCCAACGGGACTTCGTGCATTAACGCATGCGTCAGAAACCTGGTCGCCGCGTAAGCAGAATGAATGATCACTCAGCGTAATTGATCGCGCAGTCGAAAAGACGATGCTAGGAGTATCCCGTTTCACACAAGTAAGAGATCGGATCCGAAGCTCCGACTTGCACCAACGAATAAAAATCAAAGACGCCGTTCTGTACGCCAAAAAGTCGAAGTTAAGGTGGGCCGGACACGTAATGTGTATGAATGACAACCGATGCACAGAAGCCCTTAGTTACTGGATTCCTCGGAATGTCAAACGTACTTCAGGAAGAGCGTCCATCCGATGGTCAAAGTTCGAAAAACCTAGAAGCAAGATATGATACTTGACGAGTCCCTAGAGCGAGCAGAACCCACTGGGCTACTGTTGCGCTCAACAGGGAAAAATGGAAGATTTACTGGCGCCCGCTCGAGTCACTCGACGATCAACGGGACCACAGGTGATTTACTCTATGTTACTTATAAGAATTAAAGTTGATCGATCACGATCCAAATTTTTGGTTAAAAACTGCTTCCAAAAACGGTTTTTTTGTTGTATATTTCTAGGCGCAAAGTGGAACTTCTCCCGAGCAGCTCTTAGTATGTTCCAAAAGCTATCAACTGTTAACAAAAAGTGTGGAAAAATATCTGCTAAAATAAACTGCCGGGAACAAAATGAAACCTTTGGATGTTATACCAGCCACTTTCGCAAAACCGTTGTGCCACTTATAGGTGCCACTCTCCGTAACAGTATTAAAGAACCTCATGGTTCTTTTTTTGCGTCACAAAGAGAGTTATTTGATCGATGAGGGCGAAAACATTGACCTAACCGTACCGTTCTAGGAAAAAATTCTATGCAAAACTGACCAACCTGCTAGCACGATCGTCGTCCTCAGTTTCTTCCTCAGATAAATCATCACCATTATCGGCTAGTTTCACACGGAATCCGCCCTCAGGCCCCTGGAAGTTGTTCGAAATATAATATTGACACTATTAGTCATCGAAACTATCCCTTAATTTTATTTTAAAAAAGAAAAAATAGAAGCATATACAAATTTGAAAGAATAGAAGGATAAAGCTGTCGGCGTTGATCAATACCTGAGAGATGCGCCATGCATTCTACTTCATTAAGTATCGTTGGAGATCATTGAATGCACATCTGGTCTTTACAATGGCTCGCGGTGGCCTACCGACGTATGGAGCCAGTGCTGCTTTCCTCCTAGACAAGTCTGGTACCAATTTGGCGACCCCGGAGGGATGAAAGGCTTTGTGGGCCATGGACGCGGGGCTCGATTCCACGTGTACGTTGCAGGGCGTCTCCGACCACTGCGCCACACGCGCCTTTTATACAAATACACATCAGATAAATAATGGTCGGTTTCGTATGGGATATTTAAAATGCTATAACTATGACATATCTTATTTCGACATATAGAAAACATTTTTATTAACTCCCAAGTCCGACATTTTTATTAATCAAAAAAGAAATCACTACCACCTATGAAATTTTGACAACAACATATGAGTTTACTTTTTCTTGTCCGGTAGTGTATGGAGAGGTGTAGTCTTGGAAACAAAGAATTCCTAAAGGCACTTCCAGTAGTGGCTTTCTTGTCGAAAATCTTCTCAGCAAGTAGCTGTCGATGTGTGTGAAGAAGTCGTGATCCATTGATGGAGAGGGGGAGGGAGCGTTCGATAAGAATGCTAGATGGGACAACGTATCATAGCTGAATTCTTTCCATTTCTACAACGTTGGTTACGTGATATATGAGTAAACTTAAGTGAACGAAGGAATTTGCTAATGCATCCAGTCGTAAACGATTTGATTGTTGGTGTATGGTGCCAGTTTTTCAATATACTTCTCAGCTACCCTCTTTCGCCAATATTAAAAAGGTCTGTACAGGATTATCCCAACTGCACATCACCAAGTAGGTATTACCGTAATCAATACATTGTTAGCCGATTGAGCTAAATGAGGTTGTTATAAACGCTTATTCTCCCAACATTTCTATGATTTCGACTTCGTCGATATTGAAGTAATTCTAATCGGTCAGCCGCAGAAGGTGGTTCCCGCGAGGTACGTTGCCGTAAGCACTCTTTGGAGGAAATTCGGCACTGGAAATCTATCGGCTTCATTTTAGTCAAACAGCCGCAATTAACGTCGTTGGTTACAACGACATCCAGAAACCGTTCTTTTCCGTTGCGCAAAACAAACTCGGAGCAAAAATAATGAAAAATGAAACCCCAATGGGTTAATGCCAATATGGACTCTCGTTGAACATTGGCATAGATAGTCAATATCTCAATAATAAAGCAAGACATTGGTTATCCAATGCCAATGTTCAATGAGAGCCGATATTGACATTAACCCTTTGAGGTTTTATTTTTATTATTTTTGCTCCGAGTTTGGTTTGCGCAACGAAAAAGAACGGTTTCTGGATGTCACTGTAATCGACGACGTTAACTGCGGCTATTTGGCATAGATAGCCAATGTCTTGCTTTATTATTGAGGCCATTAAAAGTATTTATTATGGGTAATGTTTGGTAGGGGCGCGTGTGGCGCAGTGGTCGGAGGCACCGTGCAACGCACACGTGGAATCGATCCTCACGCCTATGGCCCACGAAGCCTTCCATCTCTCCAGGGTTGGCATATTGGAACCAGACTTGTCTGGGAGGATAGCAGCACTGGCTCGACACATCGATAGACCACAGCGATTCATTTTAAAGGCCATGTATACATTCAATCACTTCCAAACGATGCTTAACGAAGTCGAATGCATGGCGCATTCCTCAGGAATTGATCAACGCTAAAAGCTTTATCTTTTATTTTTAGCGTTTCGGTGGTTTCGCTATTATTAAAGCCGTAATGTTTCAAGTCGAGTGACCACAGCAGTTACTTCGGTCGTCAAACCCGTCATATCAAGAGGAATGGAGTACAATGGAGTACCGCAGAATAAGGATTAGAACTTAAAGTACTACAAAAAAAAGATCACTCATTATATAGTTATTTATAAATCTAATGAGGCCTGATTTCCATTGCAATTTAACATCAACGCGCTGCAACGCATGATGTGCGTATTGATTAGCACCATGACTAGGAGCGGCGCTGTTCCGCCCTGTGCGCCGAGGTATTTACTTCTATAGGTCTAATGAGCTCGTAAACCGTAACAACAAAAAACATAACAGCGCCTGAGTTGACATTGAAAACGTTGGCAATGTGATTCGGAGCTTCGAAACAAAAGAAATGAAGTAAGCAAATAATTATGGTTTGTACTTGCAAAAGTATAACACGCTGAATCACCTTATACTCGACGAAAGCCTTGAAGGTGCTTTTCGACATCTGCTTCACGCCATTGATGAAAGTCTCTTGTCTCGAAAAGTGTGAACTGTAAGAAAAAAGCATTGGATATGAGCGTAATATGGAGGAGGTAGAGTGTAAAGTTTTTTTTGCTAGAAATCTTTTCTTAGACCAATTCATTCCCCACAAAAAAAAACTCGCAATATCTTAGCTTTTATTTACCGGCTTTTCTTTTTTCATGGCAGAGATGAGAAAAGCTCAGAATCTCAGCTGGGCTTCGAACTTGTGCTTAACTTTTCCGGAGTCTGACGCTTCAACCATCACACCAACTGAGGCCCTTGAATTGTCTTTCTCTCAGACATATGTTTCACTCTATCAGTATTATTATCAAGCACCCGTCAACGAGAATAATCTGGGAAGCACAAATCGTCATTGAACCCACTTAAACTGGGGCTGTAGTCGAAGTTCCCATAACGTGGAAAGTTTGATGTTTTATTGCCGCTACTATTATCAAGAAATGTGAGGAAAAGTCAATTGTAGCAGTATTTTAAAACGCTGTAAGTCGACTAAAACTTAGTATTAATACAAAATATATTTTAGCTTATTATTTACTGCCTACTCTTCTTAACGGTAAGGTACACATTGCGAAATATAACCTTAACGATTCTGAGATATTTGCAAAACAACGGACCGCAGGTGTCTGCGGTGGGTAACAAACGCGCTATTGTCCTTTCCGGGGAGTAACGCGTTCACCATCACACCGTGCGGGTCCTTACAAAATATATTATTGAATCGCAAATAAAATTTGTAGATGACTAACTTTCGAAAAATAAAGTTTTCATGGAATAAAAGTAAATATGAATATTTTAAATGAGATACTACTATTTCTCATGAAAAGTGCCTCGAACTTTCGAGAACACATCGGTTTTGCTCCTAGTTATGTCAAATATTAAAGGAAACATGATTCCTGCTTAGATGCCCTGACTTAGAAGATCGATAAAATAGCTCTTTTAGAGCACACTTATCCCAGAAAGGATAACATTAAGACATGCACAACATGTTAGATAATGGAAAACACTGGAAAATCCCAGATGAAAAGGTGACTACGGATAGTTGATGACGATTAAAAACGCTTGACATTCGCCAAATGAGAAGAACATTGTACTACATGAGAAACGACGATCGATTGTTCAATGAAGTAAGTCGCACGAAAATCGATGCAAGGACGGTATATGGAAAACACAGAAGGGGCAAAATAAACGAGGATTATGCAAAACTACGATGCAATGCCAGCGCAGACGAGCAATGTGCCGAAACGGTTTGCCTTGCGCGTCGACGTTGTCCTAGGACGTCCATGTTCAATAACACTACTCGAGGATCTCCATATTATTTTATTAACTATACAATTCAGTTGTAGCTTTCATCAATTTTTCTCTATTTTTGTAATATTCGTAAATGATAGAGGAATCCTCCGGCATTGATCAATCCCTGTGCAATGCGTCATGAATTCGACTTCCTTAAACATAGTAGAGATGACTGAATGCTCTTTACCCTTCATTAGAAAAAACTTTCATTCAATTTGTTGACAACTTTAGTCGCATTACGTTGAAGTAGTGATTATGTTCAAATAGCGACAAGAAGAAGACGTTTCTTCTATCGTTAGCACGCTGCTAAGCTGCTGAACATGGCCGTTGATGAACTTATTCGTCTAGCGCTAATCGAAGCAAGGTAGAGAAAGTCGACACATTCTCACTGAAAAATAGAACAAAGAATAAACCAAAGCAGGAAATCACCGCTGGCCTAGTATAAACCTACTCACAAAGTGGCCAACTTTGTTGAATCCCCACGATCGAGTGAGAGTGTAAGCATAACTTGAGAACACTCCGGAAAGGCTACACCAGGACTGAAGGCAAAAAAGCTCTCTAGTATTGTACTGGTCTCATTATCATGGTACAATGAAACCTCTGTTCCGCAGAATAGGAGATAAGGCGAACCTTGAGAGGGGATCAAATGTCGGATAATGCAAGACGTCATTGGGACCGTATTTAAACAATATGTCCACAACACGCCACCATTACATTCTTCATTGCCCACGAATGATTGGTGGCCAGCCTTTTTCATAGACACATTTGAAAAGTCCTATAAATCTGTTGCTGGAGACTTCAACGCAGGATTAAGGCAAAGTCAATGAACGCGAATGTAAGACTAGAACACTTGATGACAGTGGCTTCTTGATACCTGCTGTTGGCATAACTCTACCCTTAATTCAAACATAGCCTTCCAAAGATTCAATTCACCTATAAGCTAGATAAAAACTATAATCATCAAAGCAGTCCGGAGTAAGCTGCATTTTTCAATCAAGAAGTTCGTGTCGTACCAACACCATCAAGGAAGAACCGAATCCGACTACAACACACTAAACACGCTACTATTAACGACACTTGTACAAGATCCTTATGAAAGGAAATACAATGGAACGAGCATTTAAGCATCGCTTTTGGAAGAAACTAAAAAGAAAGCTGTTTACAAAAATATCAGTTTAACAAAAAATTTTTAAAAATCTATGCAAGTTCAACGTTCAATAATCGACCATGACGTAGAAAGGTGGAACTGCCATCATCATCTTATATAATTACCTAACTGCAAACTTTTCACTGGAAAGCGAAAAAGAATTCCGAACTCTTTCTACTAAATTTCAAGTTTCCATAAAATCACGACAAACACTACAGATCCAAGAATAGACAATATAGAGGCAAAAATGATACTGAAAGAATTTAATGAAACTGCGAAAAGGATACGAATGTGAATGAACAGGGAAAAACTTAGTTCATGAAAAAACCTATGACGCGATGGGAAACAAATCGAGAATTGATGGATGGCTATTTGATCGCAGTGACCAGACACTACGTGTACTAGGGTGACCATTGAATAAGGTAGAATACACGAAAGATAAATTGTACAAGAGAAAGAGAACAGTATGGGAGGATTTACTCTCCACTGAAAGACAACCAACCAGATAACAGACTCGTCCAGGTTTCTGAATCACAGGTCTTCCCAACACTTTACCAAGCAACTTAGAACTGAACGATCTCATCTCTACGTGCAGTATAACTTCATGAGCGACCACGCAGTTCAGATCTTCGAAGGAGGATCGAGATTTAAGGAAATACTCAAAAAGACGGCCGCAGAAACACAGACGGCATGTCATGGGAATAGAAGGAGGCAGAAAAGGGAGAAGAACAGTAGAGTGGGCTTCAAAGTGATGGATGCGCCTTCTAAGGCGATACCCATAAGACAGTTGGACGTGATGGTGGCTTACGTCAACCAGCCGCATTTCAATTGGTGAGGTCCACGGAGTGGTATACCATAAAGCAAGCATATTCGGAAAATATCACCGCAAAACCACAGTAAAGAAACGAAACTAGTGAAAGATGTAATAGGGGCGTTTGCAAGTTTTGAAGACCGTCCAGTAAGATTTATTAGTGGTCATAGAACGTACAGAAGTACAGCTGCTTTTCTATTGTTAATTTTGTGCTTCACTTAAAGTACTAGAGAGTACTAGTACTAGTACTAGAAGTGCTAGGCTAAAGTACTAACTATCAAGTGTTGCCAAATAATAGCTCCTAGAACAATTAGAATAGCGTAACGGACCGAATATTGATTGATAATTAGCGCAAGACCGCCTGTGCATTTCTTAAGCTTAAGCCTATCAAAACACGCGCGTGGCGCAGTGGTTGGAGGCTCCGTGGAATCGATCCCCACACCTAGTCTTCCAACCGCCAGTGTCGGCAAATTGGTACCAGACTTGTCTGGGAGTATAGGAGTACTGGATCGTTAAGCCACCGCGGGTCATTGTAAAGGCCAGACATGCATTCAATCACCTTCAACGATACTTAATGAAGTCGAATGCATGGCGCATCCCTCAGGGATTGATCAACGCCGAAAGATCTGTCCTTTTTACCCTCTAAGCCTACCAATAAAATTTATAATGAAGCCCGACAGACAGAACAAAAGAGGAAAAACGTTTCGTTATTGCTTTTCTTTTTTTGGTGTATGAATTATTTATAGCTACTGTATTCATGTAGAAAACGAAGACATGCCGCTTCCACGATACCAGGTTCACTTCCTAGACGGTAACAAGTCGAGCATGAAAGTCGAAATTTTGCGCAAACACTAGAAGATAAGCTGGCACGCTACACTTTTTCGATCATCTATTATAGAATTTACATGAGAAATACAATGAGACCATAAAATGGAAATAACTGAGCAATTTTCTCAAGGTATAAGAAATCTTGTTATCCATTACTTCCTCTATAAAAGAAAAATTGCTATCTGAAGTTGTTGGTTGGACGAACTCATATATCAATCAGGTTTTGGACTTCCGACATCTTGTTCCTCGCCAACACCATGCTTCGAAACCCTCGCTTCGAAATCCTTAAGCACCCGGTTCCGGAAAAAGGATGTACTAGAGAAAATCTTCGGGCTCCTACCTGAGCGATTTTCAGTGTAACATAATGCGAAGCTGTTGAGGACTTCAGATCTCATAAATCTGCAGAGGAAATATCGCCGGATCGCACTAGGGTTAGATCGTGTCGAAATACGAAAGTAGGCGAAAAATGAGTCTGCAGGATGCCTTTTCCCCAAATAAGCAGATCATATTGGATGGCAGCAATGGATCAAAACATATCCTGTATGAAAGAGGGTCGCCGAGTGAGATTCCTCATTCGAGCGGTGCGCTCACTTCACTAGATGCGATTCGATGCGACAACGAGCAACCACATGGTTTTCAACCAACGACTCTGATCAATCCGTCTTCAGAGAAGACGAAGAAGTCGTTTAAAATAATCCAAATAAAAAATAAGTGTTCTACGAAAAGTTTTGAAACACTTCCCGATATCGAATTTAAGTCAAGAGATTGTAATGACCGTTTTGTTTACGCCACGTGGAGTGAACCGTTATAACTTCGTCAACCGTAGAAAAATCATTAAAAGACAGAAAAATTCTCGGCGATGATCAGTTTTCCTAGAATGCACCATCTACTCGACTTCATCAAGCATTGTTAGAGATGACTGCATGCATATGCATATC